CGCCGCCCCTCGCCGCCCCTCGCCGCCCCTCGCCGCCCCTCGCCGCCCCTCTCGGCTCTCGCAGGCCCGGCCCGCGCCTCCCGCCGCCATGAACCACTCGCCGCTCAAGACCGCCTTGGCGTACGAATGCTTCCCGGACCAGGACAACTCGACGCTGGCTTTGCCTTCGGACCAAAAGATGAAGACGGGCACGTCGGGCAGGCAGCGCGTGCAGGAGCAGGTGATGATGACCGTCAAGCGGCAGAAGTCCAAGTCTTCCCAGTCGTCCACCCTGAGCCACTCCAACCGAGGTAAAGTTTCGGCGCCCCGTGCGACCCATGAGCTCCGACCCCGCGCCTCTCGGCCACGCGGCGGGGACCGAAGGTGGCGCGCCTCCCGGAGCTGCGGGGAGGCGAGCGAGCGCGGCGTCTGCGCCGCGGGTCCGACGGGGTGCGGCGGCGGCGGGCGAGCGGCTGGCGCGAGCCCCAGGCTGGGGACGCGAAGGCGGGCTCGCGCGGCGGGGCGAGGGGGCCACGGCCAGGGGCGTCTCTCCGGCGCGCCGAGGTTGAGCATCGCCCGCGGGCCCGTGGACCCGGCACCCAGAGCCCGGGAGGCTTTCTTCCCCAAACTGCTCCCGGAACAGCCCCCGCCTCTCGGTCTCCCCAAGGCTGTGGGTCCCCCTCACTCCCCGCGGTGGCGCCAACGGCAGGAAGCCAGGTAGCCGGCGCCCAGGCCGGCAGATTCCCTGTCCAGGTGGGACCAGTGCGTGGCCGCCGTGCCGGGCGAGGGAGTCACGGTGACGGGAGTTGAGGCTCAGGAGAGGCGCTGCGGGACGGGGGACCAGGCCTTGGAACGCCGCAGCGCGTTAGCAGGAGCCTCACACCCGGAAGAGGCAAGTCTGGTTGGAAGGTCACCCCAGGACCAGTGCGCGCCCTGAGGCTCCCCGAGGCCCTGCTCAGTAGCTAATGCAGAAGCTTTCTTTCCCACCGGATTCTCCCTACTTCACTTGGCTTTACTTAAGTAGGAAGGAACACGTGTCAGGAGGAGGGTAGTAAATGAGGTTGTCAAGGCTGGACATCCCAGAAGGCGCCCAGGGCTGAGCCCTCATGGTGAGCACTTGTCCAGTTCAGGTGTTCAGCCTGACCGGCCATCAGCGGGCTGTCCCCACTAGCGGCGCTGAGGTCCCCCAAGCAGGGAGCATGTGTGTGTGTGTCCTAGGACCCCTGAAACTCAAGGAGGAAGGTATAATATCTGACGGGGGCATTTGTGGAGAATTTTTAGACCACATACTTTAATACAAAAGATTCCCAGTTAGAATTACACACAAACCAGCAAACTCTCTGTTTACTGGTTTAGTTAAACTTAGTAAATGCTAATAAAGATTCTTCAGACTGCAAACCAGTACTGGTCAACCAAGACTGATTTATGGAGTCAGGCCTCTAAGAGAGAGTAAGGGGAGCGGGGGATAGTAAAGAGGAAGGAGGCAAAGGAGACAGATAGACCCCTGCCCATCTCCCGCCACACACACGCACGCACACACACGCGCACGCACGCGCGCGCACACACACACACACACACGCACGCGCGCGCACACACACACGCACACGTGCGCGCGCGTGCTGGCTCACATTTCCTACTCCAGCTTGGTCTCTTTCCCTCTCTCTCTCATTCCTGAGCGGCCCCTGTGTAGAGCTGAGGGAGAGAAAATGGCTGGCTGAGGACTTCCCTGCACCCCAAACCTAAAGGTCTTTGCTGCTGTGCGTGCCCTTTGCCCTGGCCTGGACTCCTGGTTCCTCTCCTGCCTGACTTCCACTCAAGGTCATACCGACTCCAGAGCATTTGCTTCCTCTTTTATTTGGTGCTTTGGTAGCTGCTTACTAGCCTTTTTTGGAAGTAGATTTGGGATGATTAAAAAAAAAAAAAAGTCCCCATTTCTGGGCACAGCCCAGTCACAGCTCAAGGCAACCTACTCTCGGCACAAGACTTAGCTGTCCCTCTCCCACTCCCATGCCATCCCTGGCCTGAGCTCCAGGCTCACAGCTCCAGAAAAATCTCAAAAATCCCCGGTGCCCCAAATACCCCTTCTCCTTCCTAGCTATGGGGATGCGGGCGAGTGTCTGTCATCAGGCAGTGCTCTGTTTCTGACCTTGCCCCTTGTGGGTAACATCTACTCAGTGGGATCTCCTTCTCTCCATCCCAAGATCCTCCAGGGGACTTCAGCCAGGTGAGGGTTGACTTCCTTGGCTAATGCACACCTCTCCAGAAACAGGCTTCTCCAAGGACTGACCCTGTAGGTGTGTCCCCTCTGCCCTCAGCTCTGGTGAGGTTCCCACAGGGGCAGTTTCCCCAGAGGCATCCTAGGTGGAAGAGGCGGTTGGGTCACTTGGAGCTGGTGTTTCTGGTTTATCTGGCTTTGTTTTCATCAGATTTCCCCCTTCTCTTCATCAGAACCGCCCAAGCATTCCCTATTTGCTCAGTGGCCATTCCTACTACATTTGCTCTCTCTTTTTGTGTTGGTTTATACCCCATGCACCTGCTCTGGTTGCTGGGAGGAGCGAGCTGGCAGTTGTGGAAGGACCATACCCTGGGTCATTGCCTTAACCTGCCCCCCGCCCCAGACACACTGGAATCCTCCTTCAAGAGGGAAGAGTCAAATTCTCTAGGGTGTTTGGTTCCCTTGGGGCCCCTGAATCCCACCAGGGCTCCCCGGGTTAAGAACGCCCGCCCCAGAGAAGGCCAGCCACACCTCACAGGTTGCCTGGCAGGCAGCCACCACTCCTTGTACCCCGTGAAGGACAGCCAGGAATCGGCCACAGGTGATTCCAGCAATAGAATTGGCTGTTCTCCAGAGTCTGCCCCCAAGAAGGTTCTCCTCTGTCTTGTCGGTGAGGGGGCATTGAGCCACCAAGGGTTCAGAGAGGAGCCCCGTGGAAGGAGCCTGACACTCCATACCTATTTCCACCCATGCCTTCCCCCAAACACAGCAGATGAGATAGATGCCTCGCCCTGGTCAGGATGTCCCCAGGGAGGGAGGAGGGGGCTTTGGGGTCTGCAGACCCTGCAGGAGGAGGCTGCTCTGAACCTGCCTCCCCATCTGGGTCTTTTTCTGAACTGGCCGCTAAGTATTGCTCTCCTGTGCTTCCAGAGTGTCCTTGTGTGTGTGTGGCAGGGTGTCTTCTCAGACTGTGTGGGAAGCAGGAGGAAACCCAGAGGATGGTGCTGCTCAGCCAAAGATCTTTGCTAGGGAGACTTGACCTGCCTGAGGCAGGAAAGTCCCTGCAGGTGCTCATCATGAGCTGCCCTGTTGGGGGGTCAAGGGCTAGTGCATCAGTTAGGAAGCCCAAAGGGAATGCTTTTCCACATTCAGGTTCTTTTGAACTTCATTTGGAACCTCTTCCTAAAGCTTAACTCGAATCTTATTTGGTCCCACTTCAACATCACCATGAATATACATCCCACACAGTCTAATGACACCAACTTTCTTTTTCGTATCGCTTCTCGTTCCAGAGAAATCCCAGCACTAACAGCATCATTGTCCTTATTTGTCTCACTACCTGCTTAGACATCTGTGATTTTTTAGTTTCAACCTTCTCCTTTCTTTTCAGAACTACCATTTCCTATCTAACATGGCCAAACCTGGATTTCTCCCTGGTCCGAGATAGGTTTGGGGCCACGCTGGGCTAGGGAAGGTGCCTGTTCCCCACTTCGTCCTCCTGCATCTATCCCTCGCAGGGCAGTTACTACTTGAGGCCGTCCTAGGGGGCAGCCTTGTACTGGCTTGGTCCCCCGTGCCGTGCACAGGTGAAGGTCCCTGCCTCGGGACCCCGCCTTCGTTGGCATTTCTGTATTTGCGTTTGGCTGTGTCTCAGCATGAACCTCGGCCCGTGTGAGGTTCTGCTCTTTCTAGTCTCTTGAAAGTTGTGCTTTCCTGACCACAGTCCACAAACAGACATCACTCCTGGCATGGTTTTCTCGGGAACAAAGCTGGCATGGGAGAGGGTAAAGGGTGTCTGAGCTTTAACTTTTTCCAGCAGCAAACGTCCTAATTAAACTTCAAATGAGCCAATTCCTGTTTCTTTACGATGTATCTTGGCCTGAAGCTGAGGTTTTACCAGAATTTCCGTGTGCCTGTTACAACACATACAAAAATGCCAAGTATTCCAGAATGTTTCACAGCAAATGCTGTTTCCCCGGACCCTGCTTCTTTGCTAAGTTCATTGGCACAGGTTTAAAAAAGAAAAAGGAAAAGGAAACAAATTTTTCTCCCCACACACCAAATTATAAATATCAATAAGCTATTTGTTCCAGGTCTAAAAATCTGGAAACTACTTCTGCCAGGGGGTATGACCCCTAGAAGGTATGTGATATTTGGACAAAATAAGATGGAAGAATGTTAGATATCCTCATGTGAAGTTCTTTACAGGCGCGCACTGCACACATGCGCACACACGTATACACATGTGTACCCGCACCCCTGCACATACACACCTGTAGCATGCTTGCACACACACACCCAACCTTGCAGTTTGCGCTAGTGCAGGAGTCCAGCCTGGTGTCAGGTGTGCGTTCTACCTGGATTGATTGCTGGCTGGTGTGTGATCTTGGGTAAGTCACTGCCTCTCTCTGGGCCTCTGCAACTGTACAAGATCAGATTAGATCATCTCCAAAGTGTGCTATGATGGTAACCATCTCTGGAAATAGATCACATCGCTCCCTATCTCTGCAGACCATTCCCCAGACTGTCTGTAGCTGTCCTACAAAAAGACTCTTTCCCTCAATGAGTGTCCATCATGGTTTCCCTCTTGTAAACATCCTAACATACCAAAAGCCATCCACTCTGCTGCTCTCAAACCTGGCTGCACATTGAAATCATCTGGGAATTTTAAAAAATGCAAATGCCTGCGTCCTACCCCCAGAGATTCTGATTTAGTGAGTTATGGGGGACAGTACAGGCATTAGGACACTTAAAGTCTCCTAGGCAGTTCTGATGTGCAACTAAGTTAAGGAATCATTGTTCTGGTCCCCATCTTTCACTCACACTTAGACCCGGCATGAGGATCGCCCTCATGAGATGCACACACATGTACATACACACACAAACATACACACACGTGCACGAAGACCGATAGACATCTAATATGGTAATCGCTGATGACAATATTTTAGTCTGGATCCCCAGGCAGGTGGCTGTGTCCTGTTCTGACCTTTGTCCGCACGAATCTACCACCCTGCCCCCATGCCGGCCCTGTTCCCACAAGACGTTCCCACCCTCTACCCAGTCCTTGGGTTTCGTGGTGGCTAGGAACAGACG